ATAATTGTTGACGCAAAAGTGGTCTGTGCGCAGCTCATTTCCTGAAATGGGTCATAGCGCTTAGTAAACACGGACAAGGAATGTACATCAAAGATATATCCAAGTAAAAAAAACTGGTTTCCAGATCAAATAGGTAGATTGCTTCAAAGGTGCAGTCTGGTTTCCCTAGGATATCGGAAAACGGGGACAGAATCTATCCTCGTGACCTATCAATCTGATTAGTGAGCAACTTTGTGTGCTGCTTTATTAGATCATTCGTATCACTCCCTCTAGAAGACAACAGCACTTTGGTGAGGTCTTATTTGAATCGGATCTCAAAATAGGACAATACATACGTGCCAAATGATGAACTTACATGAGCTATTAACTAATGCTGCTGCCCCAGATGGCGCGGGAAACTTCTGTGGCACGATGGCGGAAGTATCACGGAGACACGTCCTTGGGTGTTGAGCGTCGCCATTTGTGAATATCGGGGAGAGATGAGGGAGGTGTAATCGGCAGCCTAGGCCGCCTGGGTTGCACCAGTTCAACGAGCTTGACTGATTGAGACTTTGCTGCCCGCACGTTTCATAAGGCAATGAAATCTCTGGGTTGCCACCGTCCATGGCATAAGCACAAGGGAATGAATAAGGCGGGTCACTATGATTGTAGGATGTCTGGCTTGCACCCAACACTGAATTATAGGCGGGGACACTGTCGGCGTCAGAAACAATGCTGGTATCGTCGCGTCGAAAGCGCTTCTCTACCTCATCCTCTTCTTCCTCTTCCCGGGCTTCTTCTTCTTCCTCTTCATCACCATCCTCATCATCATCTTCAACCCCACTCATTGCTTCAGAAAAGACCTTGTAAGGCTGTTCAGACTTAAAGTAACTGGCGTCCCCACCGACAGCCTTCTGGCTGTCTTCAGAACTCGTCCTATCGGTTTTCCTATTATCCAGGTCACCGGACTCTTCATTGCGATTCCGCGGAGTCCAGGTCATCTTATTCTCTTTTTTGAGTCTACGTCGGGCATTGGCGAACCAGGTAGACACCTGGGTCAGGGTCATTTTGGTAATTATGGCCAGCATTATCTTCTCGCCTTTTGTGGGGTAAGGGTTCTTGATGTGTTCCTGCAACCAGGCTTTCAAGGTAGAAGTGCTTTCTCTGGTAGCATTCTTTCTGCGCCCAACACTGGCGCCAGTACTGATACCAGCACCAATCAGGCAGCCCCTAGGAAGCAAAGAGAACTGTCGATAAGTATAGCAGGGTAGAACCCAGTGACCACTTCCGTGGTCATACTGCCTGCAGACCAAATTACATTTTCCAGGTTTTACATTTGTAAGTATTGTCTGTAAAAGTAAGGGTATTTTCTATTACGAACAATGAGACATTACTTGAGTGACCTCGGTGCCTGCATGATGGATAGCAGACTTCCATAGACAGACATATCTCGAAAGAACTACAGGTATATATATATATATATGGGATGGTGCCGACAAAGACAAGGGAGACCGGAATGACCAAAGATCCCGGGTTCGAATCTCGAGTGATCCACACTTCGGGCTTGGGTATGGCTGGCTGACGACGGCTAATAAGCCAGAAATGGCCATTCCGGTCTCCCTTGTCTTTGTCGGTACCATATCATATATATATATACAGAAAGATATTACCGACAAAGACAAGGGAGACTGGAATGGCCATTTCTGGCTTATTAGCCGTCGTCAGCCAGCCATACCCAAG